AGTGGCTGACAGCTAGCTCAGTGCTCATGCCCAGCACATCCCGGAGGCAGATGTATGCAGAGCAGTCCTGTCCATAGGACAGTTCAGGGCAGCTGCCCTGGGCCCTGTGTTTTGGGGAAGGTCCTGCAGTGGCAGCCCCAACCATCCTATGGATGGGATGGTCCCTCATACTCAGGTTAGTCCACGTGGGGCCTGGGAGGGCTGGGACCAGGAGCAGTGTCAGGCGAATCCTGCAGTCACCACAGCAGTGGGAGCTGCAGGGAAGCAGAATGACACAGCAGCCTTGGCTCCACTCTGTGGCAGCATGAAGAGGACCTTCCTGGGTCTGGGGCACTCCACTTCCCACTGCTGTAATGAAGCTGAGTAAGTTGGCTGGCTTGGGAGTGACGGTAGAGTGGAGCAGAGACTGCTGCACTTCTCTGCTTCCTTGTGGCTCCTGCTGCTGTGGTGAGTGCAAGGGGGACCAATGCCTGTTGCTGCTCTGCACCGGTTTCCTTGGTTAATCCCCTAATGCTTGGAACAGTTCCTGAAATTTTGGAATTAATCAGTTATGGTGTTCAACAGTGTTACATACAGATGGCATAATGCCAAGTTGAGTGAACGGCTTCAAAAGCTAGGCCAATAACTAGTTAAGTGCGTAGAGAGAGCTATATCTACACAGGCTTTTTGTATGTGGTGAAGTCCCCTAATTGTGTGCAAAAATTCTGGTAAAAGAACTAAGGACTGATTATCTGATTGCGAGCAGCAGACAGAAATAGGTCAATGCTAACCAGAAACTCTGGAAATTATAGATGGCGAAACTTAAATTTGATCATATACACAAGTGTATAGAAGATAGCTATGTAGATACTCAACCTTTCAAGATCTTCCTCCTCTAGCGTCCTACCTTGATTACTCAGTCTTTCCTATGACAGGAATGTGGACGACCTACTATTTCTGAATGATACAGTCCTCATTGAACTGTGCTATTTATATTCGAGGGCTTGTTTAAATTAGTGTGGGTGTTTTTGTGATTATTTGGGAAATAAATGAAAATTCATGAATTCTGTATGATACTGTCAATTCTATATGCATCTTTACTAAACAAACTCATTTTCAAGGCAGGGGGACATCCCTACCTTCCCAAATACTGATGATCCATTCATGGACTCCCAAAAGAAGGATAACATAAGAGGAGTGGTGCATTTAGGAGTTTTTTTTCTAACTGATCTGTACTCTTGTGGCAGGATTCTGAGAGAAGGTAAGCTATGGGGGCATTGGAACCAAGTGAGTGCTGAAGAGAGCCAAAGGCTAGGCAGCTGGATAGAAGGCTCCAGCTTTCAGGGTGCCATATGGAGAGTCTGCACTTTGAGAATGTGCCCATGGACCCCAAGACTGGGCTCTGTTTAGATGCTGGAAGCATAAACTACATTGGGGTCCCAGCGACCTGGGTTCCTTCACATTAGTCTAGTCTAGTGAATGAATGAGAGGAGTTTGACAGCTTTATATCAAGAATTCTTGCTCTGTTTTCAGATATACAACTTTGGATTTATATATGGTAAATGTTCTTCAACTTGAGCTTTCCTTGTTTTTGTTTTTCCAGACATGGATCTCCTTTAAATGTATATTGGCAATTGTACCAAGCTGCTTTTATGTAGGTCTCAGAAACTCATCTTACTTGTAATCCAGCAAAGGATTTGAAGTAAAATCTGTGTTTGTGCACAGCACTATGCTAGCACACCAATTAGTTCACAATAATGTTTTCCTAGTGTTCCTTAAAACAAAATAATCCTAATATCATCTTTCAGATGTTTCTCCTACTGGGTCCATGTTAATTTAGATTGCTTTGCAGTTTCTTTAACATCATGTGTTGTATGTCCCTTCTAACCAGGCTGAGGGATGTACTCAGGGGAAAAAATTGACTACTTTTTTTTAACTCCCTGAAATTCTTTTGGTACTTTCTGAGTCTTTGAAGAGATTCCCCAAATGCATGTGTCTGACAATACAAAACACCATGGATTGCATGGATAGCAAGGACAATGCCATCCAAAAAAGTATAAATGCACTTGTGAATATTGCCAGTGAATTGGGCAACAACCAAGAGAGTGTCACAGAACAATTTTAGAAAGGTAAATTTAAGTGCTGAATTAAAAAAAGGAGTTAAAGGAAATTTAAGTGCTGAGTTAAAATTCCTTTAAGTGCTGAATGAGCTATCCTCCATCTCCTGGCATTGCCAGGGTTCTGGGTTTAACTCTGATTTTGCTTTGTAATTTTTCCTTAAAAGGATGCAGGTCCATGTAAGTAAAAAGAGGCTTTTACCCTTTGCTGACTGTTGGTCAAAACCTTGAAGCCCACTAGCTGAAAGAGCAAGCAGATGTCTATTGTAAAGATATATAAAATAACTGCATTCTTGCTAGTTTCTTAAATCTTAGAGAACAGTCTCTGAAGTTGTCTTTGTGTCTGCAGGCAGGAATCTATATTTGCAAGTCTCCTAATTTTCTAGAGATCAGGGAAATTCTGAAGAACTAGTGATGCCAATTCTTCATCTCTTAAGAACATTAAAAATGTGACTAGCAAAGTATATTCTGCTTCAAGACACTATGATACTAGGTGCCCAGCAACATTCACAGTGTTGCAGGATTATTGGGAGCCCTTCTGATGTTTTCCATTTGGACAATCACTCTTTAGTGTGAACTTAAATCAATCTCATATTTAATAATAATCTCTAAACTATTATTGGGTTATATGGCAAAGCTTCCTTCAGGAATGTTGCATTTGTCTTGTGTGACGTCAGGTATTTATTTGAGATTGGGTTTCTGTGAATCGAATTTATCCTCCTGGGGTTTGGTTCCTTTTTGTGCCTCAAAAAACTTATCAAACCATTATACTCCTTTCTCCTAGTACTATGATTCTGGATTTTTTGCTTCCCAAGATAAAATAGGTTTGAGTATTATTTTACAAGAAGCTCACTGATGGGTGCAGAATTCATGTTAGGTGTGTTAACAAAGATCTAAACTCATAGACTTTGTTTTTTAAATAGTTCAAGACTTGTATTTCATTAATTACAAATCATGTTTCCACTAAGGTCTTTGGTATCCTGACTGAAAACCAACATAGACAGAAGGGAATCTTATTATCCAATTTAAATGCACTTTTTAAGTAAAATATCCCATTCTCCTAGAACTCAGTTGTATGTTACATTTTGTAAAATGGCTTGAATAAAAGCAGTGGGCTGATTTAAATTGATGAGAGATCTAAGCAAAGGGCCAAATGTCCCTCTTGCTTTGTAGCATGGCTAGAAACAAAGCATTACAAAGGGACAGAAAGGCCTATGAATTCAGGGAAGGAGAGAATGGAGACCACTCTCTGAGCTGCATCCATCCCTGGAATATCAGATGTGCTGGGGTATAAGTGCAGGGTTGCAAGGGAGTAGAGGCGGAGAACTGCCATTCTGCATGGCATTCTCCCCTCTTCACCTAGCAGAAATACTTCTAGGAAAACCAAGATAGGGTTACTAGCATTACTAACTTAATATCCCCTTCACATCTGTTCAGGGGGTGGCCTTTTGGATTGACTCCTCAGCATGCCAAGAGGAAGAGGCTGACGATGATCAAAGAAGCTTGGCATCCTAGACACCTCAGGAACCATGGGTTTGGAATCTATTTTCCTTCTTCAGATTTGGAAGGCATTAGGACAGGCTCAGTCACAGATTTTTCGGTCCTGGGCAAGTTCCCTAACCTATTACAGTGTCTGCAAAGTCAGGATAATTGTATCGGGATGTGAGGATTAATGCATTGTTCAGTGCGTGTGCGTAGAGTAGTATTGTTTCTATAGATCAACAACAGGAAGTATTGGAAGAGTCTGGTTAACCCCCAGATGATTTGATGAGAGACTGATACGTCATCTTGCCACAGGGAGTTAGATGTTTTGGTTTGATTAGTGTTTGCTTTTCATTTAGTACCATGAATAAGAGTGTCAGCTTTATCTGCTTTTCTTTTTGAGGAACTAAACAGGACACTTAATGTTAAGTATATTGTTGTGGATCTAATAATTTTTTGCTTTATATATTCTGAAATAAACCTGCGAAGCAAGATTG